TGGCGTTTGACAGGCCAACGTCACTTCATCCCTAGTACTTATTATTCTTCTGATATATCAATCAACGTTATAAATATATGACTGTTCAGTGTCTTCTCTCCTCCTTAGCGGGTGCCTCTGTTATATAAGTCGGCAACAGCCCGCGCAAATCACCACGCACACGTAATTTACAAGGTTTGTACGTTTACACGACCGCAACCATCGTTACTGTGAGATACTTTGTCTTCCGCAATTAGTATATGATTGACTGAAGCCGACAAAGTCATCTTAGAGCCACGGTCGCTTTTGACGGTGTCGTGATCGATGACGTCATCCATATTTCTCTCATCAAACGGTCCCACCAGCGGTGCCCGAAGTACGGAGAAGGCCCCATGAATGCAGGTATACATCGCGACTCATACTACTGGCTCATCAACCCGCATGCAACACTTAGAGAGGCCTGCTGGCGCATCGCCGACGCTGTTATGACGCCTGCGCGGGATGCTGCCCTCGCGTGCATCAGCGCCGGTCTGGCTCACTGAGACACGATGACGCACGAGTTGCTCGAACGCATTCAGAGGTACCACTCGCGCAATCTATTATATGCAATTAAGCTCAGTGTCTTAACATCTCTAGCCAATATCCTGTGTTGGGATGTCGCGCTCGCCATCTGTTCCTCCATCAGCGCCCCTTCACCTTCTCACAACCACTGCGGCCATCACATCAAACGGCGTCCAGAATTGCAATGACGTCGCCAGTCGCACAAACACTATCTGCTGCCTTCTCTCTCTCGTCTTTCTTGCTATTGTCGCGTTATTGAGCCTTTACCGAGCCAGTCAGGCGCTGCTGCGCAAAAAGTGAAGGAGACCTGAAACACAACTTTTCGACCCCAACCCCCGAGCCTCCGCAGAACGACACCAGATCCCGGTCAGAACGCCAGTTCCTCGAGAGGCTGGGCCAATAGCTGGCCGCCGCCACAGTATGCGACGCCGAATCGGGTAACTGAAGTATCCACCACCACCACCTGCACCGCAGAAGATGGAGGAAAAGGTGCGGTATTTATCTACCTTCATGCTCACAGACTCTCTAACCAGCCTCCTCAATTGCTTAGATAACGACGCCGAGCCTTTCTCCCACAGAGCTCACCTTGTGGCTGTCAAAATCAATTTCTATTCGTCTCTCCTACACCACACATTACTTTCTGATTACCTACAAGCATTTCAGCGATTACTTTCTCACTTCTTTCAAACCTACGTATTCATCAACATGTCCAAAAATATGGACTTCGACTTCAGCATGTTCTGCAACGACGACTTCCTCAAGGACATCCCTCTGCCGTCCGTCGAGACCTCTGGCGACGACGTCGCTCTCAACTTCGACTACGGCTTCAACGCTGGAGAGTTTGCCGGCGACATGTCGTTTGGACTTCCTGGCGGTGACCTCCTGAGTCACGCCAGGCATCTACAAGGTGCTGAGTTGGCGTCCTCTACTCTCCCCAAGGCCATTGAGACCCTCCCGGCCTCCACTTTGCCTGCCGTTCCAGGGCCTATCGAGGCAATGTGGACGCCTCTCATGAACCCAGATCCGCCGGTAACCCCGGTCAAGAAGACCAAGGCCCCCGCCAAACCTCGTGCGACCAAGCCCAAGGCTCCTCCCAAGCCCAAGGTTGTCAAGGTGAAAGCTCCGCCCAAGCCCAAAGCTCCCAAACCTCCCAAGGAGAAGGCCGCCAAGGTCACCAAGCCCAAGAAGCCTGCGAAGGCTCACAAGCGCACCGTCTCTGCACCCTCCGGACCCATTCGTTGCGTCGGAGAGCTTTACCACCTCCCCTGGTCTCAGCTCTCCCAAGAAGAGAAAGGCCGTCTTCTACTTCCTCTCCTCCAGGGCATTGACCCCAGCACCGGTATCAAGATCGGCGAGCCCGGCACTCTACTTCCCCCGCCTGACTTCGAGATGATCGGCGAAGACCTCTTCGGCACTGGCGACAGCGGCGCCAAGCTCATGGGTACCTCATCCTCACCCTCAGAGAAGCAGCGCAGCAGCCTCACCATCACACCTTCAAGCCCAAGTGCCTTCCTCAGAAGCCCGGCTACCGCTACCACCACCCGCGACTCCGACGCCGAGGACGCCGCCAAGTACCGCGCTCTCATGGCAGCTCAAAAGGCGCAGATGCCTGCCACCAGTTCTCCTATGTCCAACTCCGACATCAGCAACATCGACATCGACATCAACAACACAGTTCAGTCATTGGGCAACGACGCCGTCAACATGGACTACTGCCTCAACATGGACTACTGCCTCAACAAGGACACCTCTTCCTTCGCCTCTGACTTCCAGCTCGACTTCTCCGAGTTCCAGTTCAACTTGCCAGAGTTCGAGTTCAATCTCGACGATATGTCTGATCCCGCCCATCAAGGTCTCAACTCCGGTCGCGGTCTCGGCGGTCCTTGTGGTAACGGCGTCATCGGCGACCCGGCTCCGGCTCCAGCTCCTGCGGTTCAGCCTGTCTCTCCTGTCAACAACAACAACCTCGATCTCTCGGACGCTGCCGCCATGCTGAATGCCCGTCGCGGTATCGGTCAGACCCCCACTCCCGCCAGCGACTACGGACGTCTCCGTCAGATGGAGGCTCTCAAGCGCAATGCTGAGCTCCAGGCTGCTGGTCGTCGTCGCTAGATGCTTTCTGTAGTCGGCGTTGGATGGTATCATGTCATGTATCTGCTTTTCTTTCTTTTGTTGCCTTGATGGCGCGGTTGGGAGGAGCTTATTGGCTTGGAATGACGGAATCATTGGGTGGTAGGTCAGCATGGACCTTGGTGGTGCTTACTGGAAGTGAGATGGACATGAAGATGCATGGAGATGGATATGGTTACGGAACGCTCACATCGCATCACTGCTGAGCATCGGATGAGCTTGATGAGAAACATTGAAAGAAGAATATACCCATAAAACCCATTGACTCTTCCCTTCTACACTGCCTGACCGTGATATCTGCCCTGCTATAACTTCGTCTTCGCTTCTACACCTCTTCTCACACGTCAGCATATCCACCTTGCCTCTCATGCCCTTCCACCAGCACATTTCAAAGCTTCGACTTACTTTCTCTATGCTTCTCAAACATCTCATAGGCGCCCTCCTCCCACTTCCTCATCAGTTTTCCACATATCAGGTCCCCAGGCGGTACAACCTGGCCAGCGTAGACACCAGCAAGTCCGGTCTTGCGATCGATCCACCAGATGAGATTGGGATAGCCGCCCCAAAGCATCGTCCCTGCTTTCTTGCCGTCGGGCGCGTCGTCCATCATGATCAAGCCGCCGAGGGCGTAGTCTTTAGCTACGTGTTTGGGTGTACCGCCCATTGCGTTGTTCGCCTGTGATTACGTTAGCCGAACCGCCCTGGAAGAATAGAGTGGGGGAAAGACATACCGCATCATCCTGCACAACAGCATTTAACATTGCCCGACTCCCGTCACCCAACTGCGGCTTGAAAAACACCTCCAGACTCTCTTTACTTAGCAGCTTGCCCCCGCCCCCCTCGTCGCAGTCCAACACCCCCTTCAACACCTTGATATACTCTTTCGCGCACGTAAAACTGCCCTGTCCGCCCATACAACCCGTCACCTCCTCACCCTTATCATCCACAAAAGGCATCTTCCCATCATGAACACTTAACTTCCCGTCTTCACCCCTCCCCGACATCTCCGCCATTCTCTCCTGTAAATCCGGGCGTGTGGAAGGGAAAAACGTGACATCAGTTATACCAAGCGGACCCCAGAGGTTCTTCTTCATGTACTCTTCTAGGGTGAGACCGGAGATGCGTTCGACTAGTAAACCGGCGTAATCAACCCCAGGCCCATACGCCCAGCTTTCGCCCGGCTCAAACACAAGCGGCGCATCGAAGCGCTCCACAACCGTTGGCTTGGCATTCATCTTCTTCCCGTGATATTTCAGCCACGCCAGCGTTTTCGGATGCATACCTTCGTACGTCAGGCCGCTCGAGTGCGTCAGCAGTAGACGGAGAGTAATAGGCTTCGTGTGCTTTTCCTCAATGGGAACTCCCGCATCGGTGAAACCAGTGAGGACGTTCAATACTTCCAGTTCTGGGATGTGGGTGTATACGGGTTCGTCTAGGGTGATCTGGCCGCGTTCTACGAGTTGCATGGCGCAGAGGGCGGTCATGAGTTTGGTGCAGGATGCGACCCACATCATCGTGTTGAGATCCATGGGCTTGGCGGAACTGGGGTTCATGGAGGTAAGGCCGAAGGCTTTGGAGTATGTGAAGGAGCCTGGTGTTTGTTAGTACTGGAGTTTGGATATCGTAATGGGAAGATGTGTTGCGTACCATCACGACTTGTGGCCGCTAGAGCACACCCGGGGATTTCTTGCGCCGCGATGGCGTCGTTGATGATGGGTTCGAAATCGGCCATGGTTGTGATGGAGATTATAGTAGTTTCATGCAATAATGAACGTAGTGATACTGCCTCCGAATTGTATGGCTATGGTTATGTATAGACCGCTGTGCAGGGATTGCAGGCTGCAAGGTAGAGATTGGTGTCAAAATGACAGAAATGGTCCTAGAAAAGTCATCAGTTTTTAGGCTACAGGAACTCTCACGGACGACAACTCACGGATAAAGCGGTAACGTATACATAGTAAGGGTTGCACGAAAACTGCCTGGTGTTTGTTGTCGTGATTCGTCCGTGGCGGGCCAGGATGGGCTGCCGAGGTACACGATGCGGGGCTTCGATTCTCCAACCGCTAGTCGCGACGTCGACTGAACTGCGAAATCCACGAATGATAAGACAATGAAGGAAGAAAGTACAGAAAAATTATGGCTTTTCCAATTTCTACTTCCATGGCGCTTTTAAGTAACAGAGACGCAAGTCACGGAGACACTGTTCACGACAACATGTCCCCCTCCAGCGACATCGCATACAGTCCAGGACAACCCATTCGCCTCAAAATTACTGCTCCTTGATCACTAATCTGGATTTGTATCCATGCGACCATAACAATACAGTTTCATCACCACATCTCGAACTCGCCGATGCCGGAATCCCAATCATCCCTAGAACGAAATTCAGCCTCAAATCATAACGTTAGTAGTGAGCAGCTGTCCACATACTCATTGATAACTTGAACATTGTCCGAAGTCTTGAAAGCCCACAACATCATCATGAGGTCATCAGGTAGCCCTTGAAGCTCGGCATCTTGTTTGTAGCTATCCTCATTCCGTATAACCGCAGCCAAGCCTCGCATCTGTGTCGCTACGTCTTCAGGCTCGGGTTCAGGAGAGACGAAGTGGGTTGTCCATGGGCCGGGATCGAACTGCTCGACAGCATCAGCAAGGGTGCGATAGTCTAGGACGGTCAGGTTCTGCATCGGTATAATGTCTAGGCAATGTTAGTGAGATGTTGAGGACTTGCTGTTATGGCACTTACTACCGAGATTGCAATCCGGCAGGTGCCCTTCATCTTCTCCGCAATCCACACATGGCAGCTGTTCAAGGCCTTTCATGTAGCTGCCCCACGGCTCGGGAATGGTCTCTACAGGCTTCTCCGTTACGCCTGCAGCTTTGGTACCCGATGGGCGTGAGCCTGATATGCTGGGCGACCGGAGGTCACTGATTGACGGCTGTTGTTTCGCCCGAGAAGCATAAGTCTGCCCATTAGTTGGCGTGTCGCACGCTCCAGCGGCCGCAATTGGCTTTTCGATATTTATACATTTGGTATGATGCGCTGAGGAGCTTGTTGGTAACGGTAACGGTAACGGGTTACCTATACCATTGAATGGCACTTCTTGCGGTTCATTTGTTGGAGTCTTTGAGGTAGCATTGTACGGCACGCGCGGGCTTGTTGAAACACCGGTGATGCTATCATCATCGTCGAAAGCGGATGGCGTTGTCGGAGTGGCGATCCGTCTGTGTCCTTTGTTGGCGGTGGAGTCTGTGATGAGACCACCCGCTCGGTCATCGGCTCCCGGCTTCGGTATCTCGCGCCCAGTGTATGTCTTCTCGATATGTTGGTCTTGTCTTCCGCTTGTCGGAGATCGGATCGGTATGTTCGAAGCATTGGAAGCTCCTGAAACCGAGGCGGTAGTCTTCGGCAAAGGGTCTGCAGCACTCTTGGACTGGGCTTGCTGTTGTGGAAGAGCTGCAGAAGGAGAATATCGTACAGCGGAGACGCGGGCAGACGGGTGAACCCAGTTATGTTGAGATACTCCATTGCTAGCATTGGATGTTGCTTGTTTTGATGACGACTGCAATCCCCATTCTAACGCAGCTCGCGGTATCGTAGGCACGTTCCCGCTAATAGACGGACCAGGTTGTGCAGGTATCAACGGTGGCGTTTCGAAGCGTTGGGAGGGAGCCTGCTGCTGACTTTTCGCTTTGGAAGGAGAAAGTGGAATCTTGACCTTTTCTAACGATGGAGATGTGGGCGAAAGCTGGCCTGCAGGCGCTGTAGTAGCACTGGTGCTTTGCTTGACTGATTTAGTTTGGCCTGCAGGCTTCGGTCGCGCTGCTTGTGATAGCTTCGCGCTGCGTGCCCTAGTGACTCTGCCAACGGGGGACTTCGGTGTCGCTGGTTCTGCGTGCTGAGCTTGCGATGAAGTCGGGTGTATGGGCCCTGGTGTCACTGGAGATGAGATGGGCCGTTCTGGTAGCTGAATCGCGGGATCGATCGGTGTAGGTCGTTGGGCTCTGTATTTCGCTTCCCAGTACTGCTTAAGACGTGGGTTGGTGCTGATTGGGTAGAGCGGCACTTGCCCTCTGGACGACATGGGCAGATGAAGCATCGAGCGCAGTTCGTAGATCGTTTGGAGATGATGATGCGCCGTACCCGACATCGCCATCTTGAAGCTTGTATCGTTTGCGCCCCTTACCCATCTTAGAATGATCTCGTCGAACCTGTCGTCGCTGGAGTCGGCAGCTTGGAGAACACCCTCAGGTGTTGTGAAGCCGCGGGCCATTGCGCGCCGGTCATCGTCGATAGTCTGGAACCTCCAATACCCGCCTTCCAGATGTGATGGGTCGATTGTCCGCACAAAGTGATCAAATTCGCCGTTGGCACCCGTCGCAATGCCGCGGTAGGCTGAGTGATAGGCCATGGGGACTGCCGGGAGCGTGGCTTTCGATTGAAGCGGCGTGAAGGTTGGCGTAGAAGCGAATGAGGGTAAGTCGTCGCCGTTGAGATCAGACTGGTTGGTGTTGCATCAAGCGAGCGCAGGTGGAAGTCCGCTGTGAGAGTAGTCGGGGAAGTAAACACTGGAACGGCGCAGAAGATTGGAAGGTACGCGTAGGCACCCAACATGCAAATTCGAGGGAGCTGAAAATTTCGAGCTCAGAGGACCATGGTTTGACAGAATCATTGGAGTGATTAAAAGACAGTTGCAACAAAAAGATGGGCCATTCGCCGCATGTTTACCTCTCATATCGCGCTGCACGTGTGAGGCAGCTGCCTGCGGAGGGGGCAATTCGAGCCCGCCGCTCCCATGCATCCTCAGTACCTACAAGGAGAGCCGCGTAATGGACTGAACATCAGTTCATAGGAGGCTTCGTCTGTACATCGATCGCGACGTGCTATCAGTCAATAACGCGGTGCAAAAACTATCGTGACGCGGTCGCGACAACATCATAGACATCAGCCAGGACATCCAGCTGCGAAAGTGCCGCATCGCAGACTTTGCATCACAGGCTGACTATAGTTTTGGACCGAAAAATTGATTGAGGAATGCGCAGGAAGGAGGATGTGTATAGGAGATCGGATGAGACAAGATAGAGACGCGATGTTCCTCGGTGATGGTGTCAGCCGATGACGTCATCGGCTCCACAATCGCCAACACCCTTGCTGTCCAGCAGGCAGTCCAAATCAGGCAAGTTCTGAAAACCGTAGATTGAGGGTGCCTGGAGAATTACCACGCGCTGTCCGAACTTCTCCCCGCCGTCTCCTACTCAGCCGCGTCCCACCTTATGCAAGGAAAGGTCTAAACACCCTAGAAACTACATTAACGTCAGGCTACCTACTTTTCATGTGTTCATCCAAATGTAGGCTGCAAACCCGTTCAATTTGGTCTATGTCTAAGGTCGTCGTCTCAACTCACAGCGCCAACCCCCCAAACCACTCCAAAATAATCCTCGTCGCCTCCGCCGCCTCACACGTCAAAACCCCCTCATCATCCCCCGTATCACCATTCGCAAACGAACTAGGCCAATCATGGCCCAGATTCTCATACTTGTAATGCACAACCACGTCGTCCCAGCTATACCGCGTAACCTTCTTCCCTTCATCCACTTCACAGAGATACGACGTTTTGTTCGCGTCAACGTCAAGGCCGTCTCTCTCGACCCAATCCCTCACCCACGTGGGGATATCAGTTGAGTTTGCGTTGCCGCGGGTGTTGATGCCACCGGCGTATGGTATTGTCGTGTCCTCCAGGCCGTGGAATTCCATGATGGGGACTTGGCGACTGGGGTTGCAAGGTAAGGGCTGCTGGTCGGCATCGAGGTAGAAAGCGCCAGACACGGGCGCGAAAGCGGCGATTCGCGAGCTTGCTTTGGGGTCGCAAGCTAGCACGCCGCCGGTGAAGCCTCCGCCGTTGGACTTTCCGGTTGCGTAGATGCGGGTGGGGTCGATGCAGTAAATTGATTGGAGGTGGTCAAGGAGTTCGAGCGTGAATGTGACATCGGAGATGGAGGGTGGGGAGTCGGGGTCGCCCTCGTACTGCTGCGTGCCTTTTGCGTTCTGGGCATGTGTTAGCATACTTCTACCACGCATCTAGAGATGGGTAGACGCTACCGGTACGCCTTCGGGATACGCAACGATGCCTTCGTAGCCATAGCTGGCGTTCGAGAATTGACTGAGAGCTTCTTGGTACTTTGCATTCTTGCCACGGCCGTGGAAGGAGAGAATGAGTGGGACGGGGTTGTTGTTGTCGTACGAGGGCGGGATGTGTAGACGGTATTTGCGAGGGGAAACACCGCTTTCACTCTCCAATGTCAGATTGACGGACTTGTCAAGCTCGATACCATTGGGGAGTGGCTTCTTACATCCGCAGTCGGGTGCGGTGTTTGGACTTGAAGCTGCGGTTGCGGCAAAGAGCACCGCTAGCATTGACGACGATGCCTTCATTTTGGTAGTTCGGGGTGGACTCGGAAGTCTCGATCGTGGCTGCATGCATTTATATATCTCCGAGGTGGTTCAGGCGTGCAGCAACATCACATGCGACCTTCTCTTTTTGAGGCTAGATTGCTGTAGCATGGTATTTAGCGTGATGCTAATGTACAGCCCGCCGTGCTAGTCTGTAAGCCTCATGAAAGGTGTCGATCGCAAGCCTCAGCCGTCCTACAACCCACTTTGCTATCAATAACTATAGTTTCTATCTTTCACAAGCCACCTAATGACTATAAGTCGTAGCAGCTACGCCGAGCTCCAACGGACCCATAAACGCCGACTTCATCCCTCAGTCCAGGCCCTCGACCACGGCTTCTACCATAGCCTCGCGATACTTCTTCTTCATCCCATCATCAAAGCCATCATACTCCTCTTCAGAAAACGTATTGTGCCCACCCTCCACGTATTCCTCAGCGACTCGTTGCTCAAGAGTACGCTCGTCATCATCGTTCACGTCCAGGCGGTCGATGCTTATTTCTTCGACGGGCGCAGCGACTTGAATAGGCTCGGTCGAGTTAGGTAGATTGCCGTCTTGAGAACCTGCTGATATGTTAGTGACGCTACTCAGTTGGCTCATGCAGCAACATGGCTTACCCGTAATACCCTGACCATACTGCGCTAGGAACGCGTCTTGATCGATGTCTTCGTCAGCGACGTAACCGGCAAGTTGCTCATTCTCGGCTTCGTGAGCGCTGATGCGCGCAAGCATCGTCTTTGCAAATGCAGGTAGCTCATCAAACTCCCGCGCCTCTTCCCCTCCGATCGCTGTGGGATTTTGGCCATCATCAGGATGGCAACCGTCAGCCTTCGTGCTATCGTTCGGGTCTCCTCGCTCATGTGATCTGCGCTTGCTAGAAGGCGGTGACGTACCATCCGTGTCGTGCGAGCCTGGGGTATTGCAAGGCGTGCCGATTTGTTCTTTGCTACCGTCGGAATCATCTTCTTCGTCGGTCTTCTCTTCCTCGTTGCTGTCCGACCCATCGTCAATGTCGAACATCTTGCGATGCGCCTCTTCTAGCTTTTCGTCCAGCTGTTCAAGTTCCTTCTTGAACTCCGCCAGGCGCGCGTTCGACGCCGCACGAGTAGCCTCATCCATGACGATCTCACCCTCGCCCGTGAGTAGAGGAACCGTGAGTGGCACCCACGCGGCATGTCCTTCCAAATACTGCCAAAAGTCCGGCCAGAGCTTGCGCAGAGCCAGTTCGACTGCTGAGTGGCAGCCCTTGAGAAAGTCTGGATCGAAGTACTCCTTGGGCAGCATGCTCTTGGTGAGGCCGTGGTCTTCTCGTAGCGCAAACTGTAGCAAGCGTCTGTCGTGAACTAAGCGGCTAGAAGCCGTGGAGCAGTAAAAGTGTTCTTTGCCACACTTCTTCTTCCAATACGCAAGTTCATCGTGCAAGCTATCACGCTCGACGACTGCGACATGCCAGTAATGCATCTCGAAGTCTTTGTACCATGCTCGGTAGTTGTCGATCCTGCGTTCGCACTTGGCGCGCGTATCGAGCGCCTCAAGCTTGAACCTATCGACATCTTTCAGGAGTTCGTACTTCTCGGAGATGAGTTTCCTGTTCTCTGTCTGGAGTGGGTGGATCTGGGTGAGGATCAGGCGATGCATTTCGAAAGCATGTGGGCTACTGGTGGTGTTTGTAGCGCTGACCAAGGCATGACAGTTCTGGATTTGGTCTTCGAGAAGCTTCTCTTGTGCTTTCAGTGACTTCACTTTGCGTTCAAGCCCAGCTACCTTGGCTAAGCGATCTTGCTCCTCGGTCTGGTGTGTGAAGAGATCCTTGTCACACTGGTCCAATTTGGCTTGCATATGTCGACGTGTCTCTACTTCCTGCTGAAGCTCAGCGCGAAGTTGTTCTGCCTGCGTGTAATACTCCGCTATGGCCTCTGCCACGATGCCGTTAACAGTGGCTCGTGGAACGCAGTCTGTGGTGTTGGAGACACCGTACTGGTTCGCCTTGGCAGCAGCAGCAGCGATGACCTTCTGAAAATCCGAAGCGTATTTATTGCACTTCGTCAGTTTGTCGTTTAGGTAGGAGACTTGATCGACCGCGTCTGTGCGTTCGGCCTGCAGCGTCTTAAGCTTCCTCAAATACGAGGTTATTCGATCTGCATTCGACTGGTTGATATCGAGCAGATTCTGCACATCCGTCTTAAGGTTCTTGTTGTCTTTGCCCAATGCTGCGTTCTTCTTACGCAAGGCTTGATGCGTCTTGATGGCGTGCTGGACATGCTTGGCTAGGTCCCCTTTGGCCACTGCTGCGTCTAGTGTAGTCTCTAGACCAGCGATGGTGGCGTCCTTCTCCTGCAAGATCTGCACCCAGTTCGCATGGTTGTTACGAGTCTCCGCTTGGGCGATGAGGGCTGCACGCTTGACATTCTCCTCGGTGTCTTCCCAGAGTTTGCTTTTTTCCGCAAAATGGTCGGAAAGCTGCCGATATGTACTGTTTTGCTTCACCAAGTTGGCTTTGCAATTGCAAGCGATTGCGTCGCGGCCTTTGGGTATGGCGTTATGGTTTCCGTTCATGGCAGCGGCTGCGTCGAGAGCTAGCTTCAGCCGTGCTAGCTCCTCATCCTTTCTGGTAACGAAGTCGGATAAGCCGTGGACTTTGGCCTCCAAAGTACTGTTGTCCTTACGAAGGATAGCCATAGTGCTTGACTGCTCGTTGTGTGTCGCCTCCAGTTCGGAAATCCTATGAGACCAATCGTCTATGGCCTTACGGTCCGCTTGGCGCTTTCCACATAAAGTATCAAGAGCGCTCCTGTCTCGCTTCTGTTCATGTAGAAGTTCGGTGATCTCACAGTCTCGTACGGTAATGATGGCTTCCTGATCATGTAGAAGTTCGGTGATCGCGCGGTCTCGTGCGGCGATGACGGCTTCCTGATGGTTACATGTAGCGGCCAATGCATCTGCCTTCGCGACCAGAACTT